CGAAGGGAGGGGTGGTGACCTCCTCAGGAAGTGCAGTCTGAGGGCCAGGGGCCGGGAGGGCACCTGTGGCCCCAGGGCGGGGCCTTCTCCACCGCCGTAGTCGCTGAGGCTGTGTCTCCACAGAGCTCCCTCAACTTGGGAACGCTGGCGACGTCCTACAGAACAGCAGGGATGGGGCCCAGCGCGGCGAGGTCACTTTCTGGTGCCTCGTGGTACCCACTCTGCCTGTGTGCTGGAAGGCAGGGAGCGGGCATCGGAAGACGCAGCCCCCGCCCGGCTCCACCAGGCTGCTAGACCTCGACATACCTTCCCTGGCGGTCACTGGGGCCTTCCTGCCACCTCAGCCGTCCTAACTCTCCCCTGGGCTCCCTCCAAACAGACCCCCCACCTGCTCCTCCGGGGAGCTGCCCCGCAGCCTCTGCGAGCACCTGTGCCGTCCTGTGGATGGCGTCACCCGGGTCAGTGGCCCTCTGGCAGGTGGCACGGAGAAAGGCCCACTTCCTGGGCTCCCAGAATCCCCTCTGGCCTGTGCCTGGCCGATCCAGGCTTATTCCCTGTGCCAGAGGACAGCCTGAAGCTCAGGGCCTGCAGCAGGACAGTGACCAGGGGACCTGCGGCCGTCCCCTAGGCCACAGTACCCAAGGCGGGCCAAGACCTCGGCGACGTGGACCACCCACGCCTTCTATTCCTGCCACCGTGGTGGATTTACCAGGTCCCTGACATTTTCCGCGGTTGCAAGAATCCTAGACCTAGCCCAGGGGGGTCACCCCTGACCCATTACCCCGTGAGCTGGAATGTACCTGGGGGGATCCCCGCTAGGAGCTCGGGTGAAGGAGGGCCCCCCAGACCCACTTCACTGGGGTGACCCAGGGCTAATTTTTATTATTTATTTATTTATTTAATTTATTTATTCAGACAGTGTCTCACTGTGTAGTCCAGGCTGGCCTTGAACTTGCAGTGGTTCTCCTGCCTCAGCCTCCCTCTGGGATTAGAGGTGTGTGCTGCTATGCTCGACTCTGTAACTTTAAACATGCTACCAACCTTTCCAAAGTGGGAGAGTTCATCAAAGCTCTGCTGCAGTGGGGGCTTTCCTTAAGCAATGGCTGGAGCTGGCTGCCCTCATGCGGTGCCTCTGCACACAGGCCAGCACCTTAAGAGTGGAGACACGTGGCTCCAAGCATCCCCTCAGCCACTCCCCCTGGGCTGGCGTGGTCACCTGCGGGCCCAGGGCTTTCTGGACAGGTGACCCTGCCTCGACCCCACACAGAGCTGCGAGCTGTGTTAGTGCCCTTGTCCTCCTTCCCTAGCTCAGGCAGTCCGGCAAGGAGGTGCTCAGCGCTCATCTGCCTGGGGTTCCAGATGCCCCGTCCTGCTCCCCACCCAGGCTGCCTATGCCTGGCATCCCCAGCAGTGGGGTATCCGACCGTCGAGCCAGGCAGACTTTCTGGAACCTGCCGTGGGTACTGAAGACTAGAAATTAAGGCTGTAGCCGCTGCCTCAGACAGGGCTCATGAGTGCTGGACAGGGCTAACGCTTCTCAGTAGGGTGGTGGTGCGACCCGGGAGGAGTCCACGGCCCCCAGGGACGGGAGTTGGCTGGGGTCAGGGAGGCTGGGAGGGAGGCTGGGTGGGAGGGGGCTGTGTGTGGCCAGACCCAGGCAGGGGAGGCAGAGGCGGTCACCACCCTGGTAGGAGTTGGACCCTTCTCCAATGTGGGCAGGTCATCGAGGAGCAGCGGGCCGGTGGGGCACAGGACGCTGCTCAGATGCCGCACCTGGGGTGGCGGAGAGAGCAGGAGCGGGGTGGCCTGACTCAAGACCAGCTGTGTGAGGGTTGCAGGATCTGGGGCCACGGGACACGCCGTAAGCTGTCCAGTGTCACAGAGGAGCACCAGGGCCCCGGCGGGAGAGGAGGCAGGGACGTGAACCCTGGAGGCTCTCTGTCCCTGTCTGGCACAGGGCGGGTGCTGCGTAGAGAGCTGACCGTGAGCAGGTGGATTTCTGCTGGGACCTGGCCTGGTCGCAGGATGATGGGTCCCCGGGCCCCCAGCTGGGTGGTGATGGTTTCTGTGTGAAAGTGTGGCTGTGACTTGGACCTCGCTCATCTCCAGGACTCCAGTGAGACCTGCTTCCTGCTGTGGCAGAGGCGTTGGTGGTCAGGGCCACCTCCGCTTTTCTCCAGGGCCTGGCTGCTCCCGCCGGCAGGTTGGCGTCGGCCTGGCCGCCCTCATTTGCTGGGCCCTCTTGCCCTCGTGATTCCTGCCATGAGCAGAAGGAGCTTCAGGCCCTCAGTGGAAGCCAAGCAGAGGCTGCTGCATGCTCTGGGACTCCCCGCCTGGGGACCAGGAGCCGGGCCACCTCCTTCCTGGGTGAGTGCCGAGGTGTCTCTAGGGCGACAGGAAGGACCAGCACCGCCTGTGAAGGGAGCCCGGAAACCACAGCTTCACGCGTCCCAGAACCTTGGTGCCCGAGGAGTTGGGTGCAGGGGCTCCCCCTGCGCCTTGCAGTCTCCCTCCCATTGGCCGTGGAAGAAGGTGGTGCCCAGGGTGGGGGCTTCCTGCGGCACTCTGAACACGGCGAACAGGAAGGGCGCGATGTTCCAGCCTTTGTGTGTGAAGAGGGTTGGGAGCCCACAGGGTGGAGGCAGAACCCAGAGGCAGAGACAGAGCGGGCACTGCCCATGTGCCCCTGTCCTTGTCTGAACCCACACAGCTGCCACGCACCCCGGAGCTGAGACAGGGACACCACACACACTCACGGCTTCTGACATAGGGAGCTCCCTGCAGAGACACACACAGATAGACAGAGACACGTACACAGATATGCATAGGGACGGCAGACACGAGACACCCCGTCTTGTGGGACGAGTGTGGGATGAACCAGGGCCCTTAGGGGTCCCTCCTCCTGGTGAGGCAGCGCCACCTGCAAGGTCAGAAGAGTACCCCAGGGCTGGGGACCCCACTCCTCAGCAAGATCCAGCTTCTCCAAGCGGTTGGAGCAGAGCTGGGAGCCCTCTGCCTTGTCTCCTCCCCTCGGTGCAGCTGTGTTTCCAGAAGGTTCCACGCAGTGTCCTCACTGGATTTACCAGTGCATTCTTTCCTGCCTCAGCCTCTCAAACAGCAGGATCACGGGTGTGCGCCACCACACCCAGCGAGATTTCAGCTTTGTGGAGGAACACTGGCCCTGAGGGCAAGTGACCTTCCATAATCACAGGGCCTTAAGCGGCGACGCCCTGTTTGAACCCAGGGTGAGCAGACTTCGGCACCTCTGTGCCAGAGCCGTCTCTGGCTCGCTCTGTCACCGGCGCAGGGAGTGAGGTCCTGTGAGCAGAGTCTGCTCTTGACTCTCAGAGGTGCTCACTACGACGCAAGGGAGATAGGGAAGGGCCGGGGCCTGCCGTCAGGTCAGCAGGCGGAGCAGGGGCAGCAGCGACAGAGGTGTCGCTTGTGAGAGTCCTGGGACCGGAGGCCTCCTTGCACAAGGCAGGGTACCGGGCCCAGGAACACCGTCCCCAGTCCCGGCATGGCTCTAGCCTGGGCGTCCAGCATGGGCCAGCACAGGAGCCCTGCGGCTTGTTAGGCAACCCCGAGTGAGCAGAGGCTCAGGGTGCCCATAGCCGGGACACCTGCCCTGCGGGGCGCCCGCTGCTGTTATCCAGGATGGCCATGTGGTTTCTGGAGCGCTGTCTCTCCCCTCCCTAGGTTTCCTGCCTGAGGCCTGCAGCCCTGGGCTCCACGGATCCGGGCGGGAAGCTCGGGCTGCAGCAGAACTTCTGGGTGGGTCGACCCTGCCTTGTGTGTCTCCCGGCTCGACTCCAGGCTGATTGCTTTGCTGAGGGAGAAAAGATGGAGGTCCAGGGACACAGCTGCGCCCCTTGGCCGTGCCCCTCAGCTTCTCTCACCTCTTCTACGGATGTAGCATGAACAGGGTTTTGAGACCCAGCGTGGCTCTGGGCGGCCTGGTCAGAGTTCAGACCCTCCCTTGTTCCCTGGACCTGGTGGGTATTCACGGTGCAGGGTGTTTGCCCTGAAGTCACGGTTCCCAGTTCTGGCCCAGCGCACTCACCTGGAGGCCGTGACCTCAGGCAAATTTTCTGCTTTCCAGTTTTGTCTTCTATCAAGTGGGAAAAGTAATGCATTTTGTCCCACAGCACCACCTTGAGGTTACCGGACTTGACATTCTGCAGAGCACTTTCTCCAGGCAGGAGCAGGAACCCGAGCCCTGCAGCTGCTTGCACAAAGCTCTTCGCGTCCATTTTCTCTTAAGGTGCACACATGGATGGCAACAGATCGGGTGATTTTGCCTCCGGGTCACGCAGTAGGCAGCAGGCTCCTAGGTTCTCTTGCAGGGTTTTGAAACTAGGGCCAGGCCATTTTCTATTTGCTCCCTGTCCCCAACTTCTACTTCTCCTTGAGGACCTGCCCAGCTGTCACCTCCTCCCAGGAAAGGGGACCTGGCTTCCACAGGTTGGGTACCACAGCACTGTGCTCCTGGTGGGCCCCCTGCTCCCCTCCACCTTCCCAAGCTGCTGGAGATGGGGTCTACGAGGAGCACCCAGATTGTTCTTCATGTGTGCCATCTAGCTATCTTTCTGCTATCATCCCTGTCCATCCCTCCATCCCTCCATCTATCCATCCCTCCATCCCCGCATCCATCTGTCCATCCATCCATCCATCCATCCACCCGCCCTCTCATCCATCCATCCATCCATCCATCCGTCCATCCATCTGTCCATCCCTCCATTCCTGCATCAATCCATCCATCCATCCATCCATCCATCCATCCATCTGTCCATCCATCTGTCCATCCCTCCATTTCTGTATCAATCCATCCATCCATCCATCTGTCCATCCATCTGTCCATCCCTCCATTCCTGCATCAGTCCATCCATCCATCCATCCATCCATCCATCCATCCATCCATCTGTCCATCCATCTGTCCATCCCTCCATTCCTGTATCAATCCATCCATCCATCCATCTGTCCATCCATCTGTCCATCCCTCCATTCCTGCATCAATCCCTCCATCCCTCCACCCACCCACCAGCCTCTATTTTCCACCATCAGAATCTGGTTCTGTATTCTGCACAAGCTTGGGGGCTCAGTAGATATTGGCTGAGTTGAACAGATCAGCATTCCCACTGCCAATGATGGCAGGAGATATTTATTCATAGTTGGTGCTGGGTCAGTCAGTGACTTCGCTTTCTCCAAAGACACTGGCACCAAATATTTGAAGTAGGGACACACTGGACACTGAAGCCAATACCTGATGAGGCTTTCAAGGTGCCTGGTGCAGTTCTGAGTTTTGGGGGATGGTGCGTTTCTGGGATCTGGCTTGGGTCTGTGATGGAGGCAAAGCTCCTCCGATAGCGAGATGGAGTGTGTGTTGGCTGCAGTCTGTGCGCTGTCGTGAACCTGCCTCTTCCCTGAGGCATCCTGTGCTTTTCTGGTGTTCACTGCTGAGCTCTTTGCCTGGCTGTGGGCCGCTGTCGATCCCATGGAGAGGTGCGTTCCTGGCGCTGCGTGGTGTGGTTTCAGGTGACCTCCTGCCTCCTTCCCATCTCACCCTGGGCCTTCTTCCGTCTCTCGTTCTTTCTGCCCGCTTCCAGCTGCCCCTGTGCTGCCGACGCCCTGCCCTGGCACCCAGCCTTCCTCTGCCCTGTGACCCTGCACCGCTGCGCTCCAGCGAGAGCCTCTGCCTGTCCTGCTGCCTCTGCCAGGAAGCTGCCGTGGCGCCCGCAGGCCCTGTGAGCCGCCTCCCCTGCCCACACCCAAGAACAAGTGAGTGCCGCAGGTGTGCTCGGGCGCAGGATCCTACAACCCCTCTGTGAGAACCGGCAGGAGCAGGAGAATCTGTGCGCCCATGAAGCAGAGGCGCATCTGGCCGAGGCCGCTGGCCCAGGAACAGGGCGGCTGCCGGGGGCCTCACTTTCCGTCTGGGGCGAGCAGAGCGTGCTAGCCAGGGCTGAGGCGTGGTGGCCGCACCTGCCTACGGGTCGGACTCTTGGCGTCTGCGGATGTGTGGCACCCAAACTCAGTGCAGTTCTTATGAAGCCCAAGCGAGGTCCTCTGAAGAGGTGGGGCCCCTTATGAGAGAAAGATACTCAGGGGCGCAGAGTCCTTCTGTGGCCTCCAGAAATGGGAGACCCTGCTTCCGGCGCCTGTGCTTCGACAGGGAATTCCCTGAAGCTTCCAGAGGAGCGCAAGGTGCAAGCCCAGAAGGAACTGGAACCGGGCCAGGGTCGCCCTTTTTCTTTGTCAGAGCCCTGTCGAAAGGTTGCAAGGTGCATCCGAGCGTGACTAGTTTGGATTGGTTGTTGGCCTTGCTCTGAAACAGGCTCTCACTAAATTGCCCAGGTTGGCCTTGAACTCACGATCCTCCTGCCTCAGCTTCCCAAGTGCTAGGATTACAGATGTATACCTCCGGGGCCCAACTAAGCTGTTTGCTTTTTAATCTACCTAAGAATGACTCTTGTCCTTACACACAGATCCGCTATGAACGTGATGAAATGTGCAAACACTTCATATCTCCCAAGGCAGCTCACACGGCAAGGAGAGGAAACCCTCCCCTCGGCGAGTTGAGACCAGTTTGCATAGCGGCCTGAGCGGAGTCGCCCAGGCCTCCTGCTGCCCTGGCACACCACACCCACGTCCTCTGCACAGGCCCAGTCTCGAGACTGGGGCTCCAGACCCTGGAGGGCAGCAGGCGGGGCAGGGAGGAAGGAGACAGGAGGGAGGAGGGGCAGGGTTAGGGGCACCATGCCACCCGGCTCCCAACACCTGGATTTCAAAGTGCCACCATATTTTGCTGTGGTCCTAACCTGACGGTGAGCTCAGCCTCCGCCTGGGGCACAGGCAGGGACAAGGATCCCCTGCGACCTCTCCCTCACGGCATCGTCCAGGGCGGGAGCTGAGGGCATGGCTCAGAAAGAAAGAGAGCCACGGTGGGGAGCAAGAAGCATCGAGGGGACGGGGCAGAGCCAGCCTCGCACAGACATGGGGTCCCGCTGTCTCCGGTGCCGCCCGCACCAGCTTTGAAGCGGGCTCGGTGGGAGTTGCCGTTCTGTGGGCTCCCAGCTCGCGGAGACCTGGCAGGGACTGGGGCTCAGGACCAGGCCAGGTGACAGGTGGGAGGGCCGAGGGGCCGCTGCCCCGGAAGCCCCTGGAGAGCGAGTCCCTCCAGGTGCCCGGGGCTGGGCAGGGTTGGGTGCCCTGGGGGGGTTTCAGCAGCCCGGGGCTCAGGGAACCTCCCGGAGGGGCTGCAGGGGGCTGGTGTACACACATGCACACACATGCACACGTAAGCATGCACACATGCACACACATGTGCACCACACATTGCACACACATCACACACACTCACACGTGCACACACGTGTGCACCGGAGACGGAGCAAACGCCCGCAGATAGATTATTTTTGTTTTCTCACCACCAGTGCCAGGGCCATCCGCGACATTCCTTTCCCTGCTAGACAAATACGCTTGTGTACCGGAGCCTGCCAGGAAGTGAAGAAACCCCGGCCCGCCCAGGGCCGCCTCCTCCCGCCTGGCAGCTGCACGGGGCCTCGGGCTGCGCCCTGTGACTCCTTCCCGGAAAGCGGAGGGAGTGGCCAGCACGCTGGGCTCAGGCTCCTCTTGGAATCCCTGGGCCGCTGCACCTCGCTTGCTGCACACATGCAGGGGACTGCACACACCCGGGGGACGAGGCCGGGGGTCTGCCGGGGCCTGGGGTGGGCAGGGGAGGCGAGGGAGGAGGGGACAGAGGCTCCCATCCTGGAGAAGATTCGGGGGAATCAGAGGTGGAATGTGAGCATTCTGACGAGAACTTCCTTCCCCAGAACATTTTTCTTAGAAAAGTAAGGACCACTATGAGGGGCCCACATCCTTCCGCACAGCCAGAGAACAGCTGCGGGGGATCTCAGGCCCCGCAACAGCAGAGGAAGGCTGCGTGCCTCTTCGGTGCTGGAGCTCATGAGGCTGAGGGCGTCCTGAGGTGAGGGAGGTGGCCCTCTCACCCTGCTGGGCGCTGTCTCTACAGCCCCTCTCTCCTCACAGCCCCCTGACGGTTCCAAAGGCGCCACTCCAGGAAAGGGAAGAGCTTTCCTCCTCCAGCTTGGGATCTGAAAGTCCAAATCCTCAAGAAGCCCCAAGATTCCTGCACAGACCGGAGGTGTGAGGCGGTGGTGGGCAAAGGGCCTGCCTGGGCATGGGGGAGGGGCTTGCGGAGGTGAATCCACAACAGAGGTGTCCTGCACTGGCAAGAACCCCTGGGCAGTGGCAGATGCCAAGCAACTTCTGTGGGCGCCAGGCTCTGCAGGGACCTGCACACGTTTCCGGGTACACTGCTGGAGAGGAGTAAGACCCCGGAGAGGAAATGCAGCAGGAAGCAGGGGAGGAAGGCTCTGACCGCATTTCCAGTGCTGAGTCCGTGCTTCCAGGAGGGACATGGAGCAGGAGGGACCCTACAAGGACATTGATTGTTCCCTCCAAATATGTTGGAACCAGGTCAAGTTTCAAGAGTTTGACGCAGCTTCAGGCAAAGGGGAGGGAAAAGCAAACGCAGCTTCAGGCAACTAGCTGCCATATTCATCAACTTTCCATCACTGTGACAAAGTACCTGAGACCAACACCCTAAAGGAGCAGAGGTTCATCTTGGTTCACGGTTTTGCAGGGTCCAGTCCACAGTCACTGACTCCATTGTTCCTGGCTCTGTGTTCAGTCTGCACCGGGGAGTCCTCCTCCTTCTGCTTCTGTTCCACCTGGTCTCGCTATGCGACAGTGCCACCCACATTCTGGGTGAGTTCCCCCCACCCATGTGTCACCTCACAGGCCAGTCGTCCCTGGGAACCCCTTTACAGATACAGCCGGAAGTGGGTTGGCTGGTTTTCTAGGCATCTCTCCATCCAACCAAGGTGACAATCAACATTAACAACCACCATGCTGAAGCAGAAATGGAACCCTAGAACCCTGCTTTCCTGGGTGGAGGACTGAGATGGCTCCTCGCTTGCTTGCCTGGTGTTGCTATTTCAGTAAAGATTGACACCGCCTATGAAGCATCTCTGGACCCTCCATTGCCCAGGCCCTTTGGGATACCAGTTGGGTAAAGATGGGCAGATGTCATGACAGTTTCTCCAGGAAGGCTGTATGCACGGCTTCCCAGGCCCTGCACATTGGGAGCAGAGACCTGTTCAGCCCCTAGAGAGGGTCCAGGTGAGCGCTTCAGGTGGACAATGGGAAGCCAGGAGGGAGGACAGGTTGACTTCCCTACAGCTCCACTCCGGTCAGCTGTGAGGAGCAAGGGAAACTTCTGGGCCTGAGTCAGCTTGGGTCCACACATCCCTATAACCGCCAAAGGCTTGGGGCTGTGGTCCCGTTCTGTGTGTGTGAGACTCAGCTTTCTGTTACTGCGACAAGATACTTTCGATGATCACTTCATAGGAGGACAGTTTATCTTGGCTCAAGGTTTCCGTTCACCTGGGCCTGTGGAGAAGCGTCCAGCATGGTGGAGGCACTCGGAAACCGCTCACCTCAGGGCAGTCAGGAAGTGGAGAGGCAGGAGGGCCTGTCCCTGTGTCCCTTCAAGGGCTGCCCCAGTGACTCAGCTTTTCCCACTGGGCCCCACCTCTCAAAAGCCCCAGGGTCTCCACATAGCTCCACAGCGTGGGGTGGGGCCACGAACACACAGGCCTTGGAGAGCATCGCAGATCCAGCTCTCCCAGTGGGCCTGGGCTTGCCTCTTCTACCATCACCTGTGCCCTGGGAACCCTGGCCTTTGGGCTTGGCACACACCGTCTGGGTGCCTCTCCACGGGTGCATGCGGATCAAGTCCAGGGGAGCAGGTGGCACCGATGGACCTTCTAGAAACCCTTGGGGTCCTTCCCAGAATGTGCTATGGGTGCCCCCTCCACGGCCACAAGCGGGTGGGGCAGAGCTGGAGGCCCTCAGGGCCTGCGGGTGAATTATGGAGAAGTTTGGACAGCGGCTGCCCTGAAGCACCGGGTGAGATGCTGTTTCCCAGCCCTGCAGTGCCACGAGGGACGGGCGGCGGTTGGTGCCACGTACCCTGAACACCTGCCCGAGGCCCACAGACTTCAAACTTCCTCTGGGGGCTGGGGGCTTAGGGCAGCCAGCAGCATCCCCCACGAATTTAATAAAGTGCTCTGGTTTTGTAGATCTGTTTATGCTTACTTTCTTTTGCTTATGGTGCAAGCCATCGATTTCCCAGTATCTGTGCAGCTTCCTTTTCGACACAGTTATTTAAGTTCAAGTGGAGAGGATGTAAGGCAGAGCCAGTAACCGGAGGAACTCCGGGAGAGGCGGTGCACAAACACCGCGCAGCTGTGAAGGCTGTGGCGGATGGCTGCGGTCCGGAAACACCGGACTGAAAGTTTTGTCCTGGTGAAAAGCCTGCCTCTGGTGCTTTAACGGTGCTTTAAACGTCCGCATTTGAGGTGCGGGTCTGCAAAGCCACCCTTGGCGCCTGTCAGCTCCATGACTTTGGCAGGTACATTAACCTCTCAACGCCTCAGTTTCCCTAGTTGTAAAATGGGATGGTAGACAGCTCCTGGGGTGGCTGCGAGGATTAAACGGTGACACACACACACAGCGTACACATGAGCCTCGAACCCGGGGCACAGTGAGCACCAGGGCCAGCCTCTTTCCTTGTCATTAGAAAAGCTCCCTTTCCACCCTTTCCACCACCGCACGGCCGTCACCGGTCACTTGTGCCTGGGCATGACTGACACCCTTTCCTCACGGAGCCCGCACGGGATGGAGTGAACAGAGGGCCCGTCTCACTCAGAATAAGGAAGCAGATTTCCAGGCAATCTCTTCTTTTGGCTTTTTGATACAAGGTCCCATGGTGCAGTTCAGGCTGGCCTTGAGCTTACTTTGTAGGCCAGGCTGGTCTCAAACTCTCAATGATCTTACTGCCTCAGCCTCCCGAGTGCTGGGATTACAGACGTGCACCACCACGCCCGGCTTTCCAGGCCATCTCTGAGCAGACGGCATCACTGTTCCTGCTTCTGCACATGCTTGCAGCAATCCCTGTCCAGGTGGCTGCTGTGGCTGGAAGAGCGGGAGGGTGGGACCTTGAGAAGAGGTTAGATCCCTGCAGTGTCACCCCGGAGGGGACTGTCTGCCTCTCGGGCCTGGATTTGCAGTGTGAAGGGAGGAGCCGTAAACTTGGGGGTCTTCTCGGTTTGCCTTCCTTTCCTCAGCGCCGCGCGGCCCCTCTCCCAGTGCTCCCGCATGTGACACGTCTGCCACGCGCTGTCCCCAGGCACGGACGCCTCTGCCATGCTCTGGGACCGCTTGGACTGCGAGCTAAATAAACCTCTTTCTGAATTAGAATCCGTCTCAGGTATCTCATTATGGCCACACGACATGGACTATGACTGTGTGCTGGCGACGTCTTCAGCTAGTGAGGACCCCCTTCCTGACGCACACACTGGGGCTGAGCCGCGTCACTTGCCTGGGCCAAGGGGAGACGCAGATTTGATGTAAGCAGGGCTGAAACACACCTGCGTCTGGGCACTGCCCTATCTGCTACTCCAACTGCCTCACTGAGAGGGCGCCGTGAGCCCGCTGCCCACCGGGGGCCACGCCTGCTCCGGCCAGTTCCCCTTGGAGCCGTGAGAACAGAAGTAATTATTCCTTACAAAAGATTCACCATCTCCGGCCATCGGAGAGACACGGATTAAAACAACGCTGAGATTCCACCTCACCCCAGAAAGGGTGTCCAGCATCAAGAAATCAAATAATAACAAATGCTGGTAGGCTGTAAGGAAAGAGCGATGCTTCTCCATTGCTGGTGGGACTGTAAACTAGCACAACCACTATGGAAATCAGCACAGAGATTCCTAAAAAACCTGCAGCTAGAAATTCCATCTGACCCAGCTATTTCTCCTCTAGGCATCGTCCCAAAAGAGTTAAAGTCGTCATACTGCAGTGGTCCACGCACACCCATGTTTATAGCAGCACAGCTCATAATAGCCCAACCTTGGAAGTGACCTGTGTGTCCATCCACAGATAAATGGGTAAAGAAAATGTGGTCTTCACACCCAGTGGAGTACTTACTCTGCTATGAAGATAAACCTGAAGCATTTGTAGGTAAACAGATACACTTTGAGACCATAACTTAAAGTGAGATAAATCAGACACACAAGCTGCTTTCTCTTCTATGAGAAATTTAAAAATATGCGTATGTATAGATCAAGAACAAATAGAAGATAGCTTAGTAGGAACTGGGGAGATCTTTTTCAGACGGATAGGGGAGCAAGAGATGGAGGGGAGGGGAGGGAGAGAGGATGGAAAACACCTGAAGGAAACATGATGGAAATAGAGCTTTTGCCAGTGGAAAGGGGACCTGGAGTTGGACGGAGCAGGGAGGCAAGGCAGGCAGAGAAAGGCAGAATTAGGAAGCTCTGTGCACAGGTGCCGACCCCCCACGTAAGCGCAATCATTTCGAGCGCAAACATGTGTTCATAAAACACTGAAGAGAAACAAACAGAAAAGGCATGACCATTTTTGAAGTCACTGAGCTTTGAGGCGGCTTGTTGTATGTCGTTGCTGCGCTGCAGATGTGAACGACCCCCACTGTGTGTCAGACACGGGCACTTTCACATGGTCTACGGTACCTTCAAACACCCCCATTTCCTGGTGAGGGAACAGGCTCTGATCCAGTGACCCCAAAAGAGCAGGATGCAGGCAGCCTTGTTCCGTCAACTCCATGACACCATGGAAAAATGGGTGTGAGGTGACTAAACTCATAGCTGCATCGGAGGCCACCCCGTCTGAAGTCATCCCCGAGCCCACACCAGCCCGCATCACGACCCCAAGATCATGACATCACAGGGTGACTCAGGCAGGGGTGGCAGATGGGGAAGCCTTGGTGAGGGCTGGCCAGTCACAAAACCTCAGTCTAAATAAGCACGGGGCGGTCACACCAGTGGACACGGCTGGCCTGCAGAATTGGGTGGTTTGGGTCAAATAATAACTGGAAATTTATTTTGGAAATGATTTTCCCAAGTGTCTTGCTGAGCTTTGTGGGAATGAGAAATTGGTAGGGGAATCTGACGAGAGGGAGAAGGCTGAGAAGGGGCTTCTGACGCAGGGCTTTTTTTCATAAAGCTCAGGCCTCAGACATTCCTGGGGACAAACTCTTAATCGCCTTCGGAGCTTGCCGTGAGAGTTCCCGTCTGGAGGCGGCGGGGACCCACCCTATCCCTCACTTGCTTTCCGGTGATCCTTCACAGTGGCATTAACCAAATGCCACACGCAGCTGGAAGCACTCTGCACCTCCAGTAACTCAACTCTTAAATCCTTCTTGAAGATACTCCTGTGGTCTCACCAGCAATAAAGGAGAAAATGGCAGCGCACAGAGGGGAAATAAGACGCCCAAGCTCACACAGCGTGAAAGAGAGCTGGCTCTGACTCAGAGAGGACACTCTGCACCTGGGCTGAGAGTGTGTTGTCCAGCACTGCGATGACCTGAGCCTGTTATTAAATGAAATAATGCACACCAGGTGCTGAGCTCGTTGCCTGGCACTCAAGAGAGGCCAAGTGTATTGTTATGATACCAAGTGCATCTGTTTGTTTTGCATTACTGCAGTGAAACCCCCAAGGCAGGCTGGCTTATAAAGAACAGAGGTCTAGTTTACTCCACAGTTCTGGTCCAAAGTCAAGGGGATGTGCCTGGTGATTACTTTTCTTTTGGCTGGCAGAGTCCTGAGGTGACTGTCTTGGTTACTTTTCTCAGTACCGGGACAAAATACCACATCCAAAGTTAAAGGAGGAGAGGTTTATTACACCTCAGTTTGCAGAGGTTTCAGTCCATAGCTGGCTGGCTCCCAGGCAGGGCAGCACGCCAGAGAAACAGTTCATGGTGTGGCAGGCAGAAGGCAGCAGCGGCAGTAGCCTCCCTTTCCCTTTCATTCCATCCAGGCTACAAGCCATGGGGGTGGTGCCACCCACACTCAGGGTGGGGCTGCCCATTACCTACACCCAGAACTATGCTAAGCTGATTAGTGGACTAATCCAGTGCCATACGCCCTTAATCCACATTTACACACCCTACATCCAGCCACTTCCAAAGATCCCCATCTCTGACTGCATGAGGCTCTGGGACATCTAGATAAAGCGGTAACAGCAGCACCGAGCATCACAAGGCAAGAGGCAGGACTCATGTGTATCTATGTGTCTCTGTCCCTCTCCTTGTAAAGCCACCAAGATCCAACCGTGGGGCTCCCACCTGATGATTTATCTCATTCCAGTCACCTCCCAAAGACCTACCTCTCAGCACCATGGCTGGGTTAGGTTTCCACCCTCTTATGCCTCACAACAGGGGTACAATTCCGACTCACAAAGCCCAGGGTCATTCAGACTCGATCTACCACCACCACTTCTCATGTCATTACCCCGTGGCAGCTGCTTCCATCCCCTCCTCAGGGAGTGTCCTGCCAGGGAAACGCTTTGGGTGTGGGCTGAGAGAGCAGGGAAGGGTTCTGAGGAGACGGGTGGAAGAAATCAGAGATTGGCCAACCTCCAGGGGCTCAGGAGTGGACACGGGGGAGCAGGGGTAAGAACAGGGGCGAGAGCAGGGTCTCTGTGTCCTGAGAGGAGACCCCCTTTGGGGGAGCAGCGTTTGTGGTTGGTGGGTAGCACAAGGGGTAAAATGTGTATGGAGCTGGCCCCAGGCAACCAGGGTCCCAAAGGCTGGGGTTCAGGGGCTGCTGGGCCCAAGGGGACTGACGACCAAAGATCCGAGGGAGGCCAGGAGTCACGTGTGGTCCTGACCGGTTTGATCTCAGCCCATATCCGGGCAGGGCTGCCATCACCTGGGTGTGGGGGAGCAGCCTTGTTCCTCAGCATATGTGCTTTTCGTGAACGAGTGAGTGTGTGGGTGAACGGGAAGGCTTTGGAGCGAGGCTCCTCCTGAGCCGTCCAGGGGCTGCAGCCTGAGCAGGGCTGTGGCCCTCACCATGCCCAGCTCCGCGTCTCAGGCTGCCGCTGCCTCTGCACCATCCCCATCTCCGCCTCTGGGCTGCTTCTGCAGACGGGACTCAGGACACCGCGTGGCTGGGCCCACGGCTGTCCTTTACCGTCTAGACCTGGCCGCTGTCACAGCAGCGCTCTCACCCTGTGACGGTTTCGTTCACCATGCACACTGTC